GTGGGGTTGAAACTAGCGCTGTTTCTGCGGCGATCGCTCTCTTGAGTTCTCTCTTCTCTGGCCAGAGTGAAGGGAACACAGCCAAACTGATTCTTCTCCTCTGTGGCCGATGCAGCAGCAGAGGAGGAGAAGAATCAGTTCGGCTGTCTTCCCTTCACTCCGGCCACCTGCAGCTTCCTCCGCCCACCTCATCTGCCATAGGCTGGGAGGAAGACTGCAGCTGCTATTGGCCGGCTTGAAGTTTTTGCAGCGTGGGACCTGAAGGGAGGCTTCCGCTGTGAACATTCATCTCTTTATCCCCCCTACCAGCAACACCACCGCCAGGAAAATGGCATCTAAATCAGGAGAGGAGGAGGAAAATGGCAGGAGTGACATTACTGACCTATGTACTGCTGACCTCTGCACTGTGCGTTACATTAGTGACCTGTACTGTGCGTTACATTACTGACCTCTGTACTGCTGACCTCTGCACTGTGCGTTACATTAGTGACCTCTGTACTGTGCGTTACATTAGTGACCTCTGTACTGTGCATTACGTTAGTGACCTGTACTGTGCGTTACATTACTGACCTCTGTACTGCTGACGTCTGCACTGTGCGTTACATTACTAACCTCTGCAATCTGTGTAGTTACTGATGTCTGTACTTTGCGTCACACTGCTGAGCTGGAAGAGTTAAGGCCGCGGGAGGGTAGGGGTTAGGTGGGGCAACTTGTGGCGAGTAACTCTTAAGGTCTGGCTAGTAGCTCAGGGCCTGAAATTTGAGCCCTGCTGTATATCACTTGTCAGATAGTTGAAAAAGTCAACAATTTCCATGTGGTGCACTTACTTTTTTACATGATTGTATATAAATCTGTTAGGAAACACTAATGATCACAGTATTAAAAGTGTAGAGAGTATTTAAATGTCTGTTGATATCACTAATCAAAGTGCTTTCACAAATCTTTTGTAATTATCACACATGAACTGTATACGTGCTGATTTAGGGCCTGTTTGCACATAACGTGGTGAGCTATGGTGTGCCGCACCACAACGTAGGTCACCGCTAAGACACATAAGAAACAATTGTTTCCTATGGGTCTCATTCACACCACAACATGGGTGTGATGGGTGGGGTGCTGTGATAAAATGCAAACATGCTGCATTTTTACACAGGGCACTACATTCCACTGCAGGTCGCCGCACGGCAGACATTGTACACTCCACATAAAGTTTTTTTTTTAAATTTAAACGTAACAGCTTTGGCAGTGTGAGATACAATGTACTAGCCCACCGGGCTAGTGTGAACGGGCCCTAGTGTGAAGACGGGCTAGTGTGAACGGGCCCTCAACCACTAGTACATTGAACATCATTAGAAATTCTTTTATTTTTAAACACGAAAAGTAAAAACTGATTGGTAGGTTCAGGTTACTATTCCTTATAGATTATTGTTATACCCGGAATTGTCTTACTAAATAAACTTGTATATATACGAAAAATAACAATGTCCAGAAACAATCTTTATGTGTCACTTTTTAGAAACATATGCGGCATCTAAGCGTTTCATATGAAGAAATAACACTTTTTCAGATAACCTTTACAAACACACCCAAGTACAGGATAAACTGTGTTTGTTGCACAGATCTGTAGCAGGAACAGGTCCTCAGGGCATATTAGCCTTCTTGGGTAAAAGGGTGGAGGCAGCAGAACATGTTTCTCTGCAAAGTCACAGAGGGAGTCACCCATTGCTTAGTCACAGCACCTTCACAATCCACAGATCTATATCTGCTCATTCCTCCCACAAAAAAAAAAGTTTCCCATTGGCAACATTATTTGCTATTAGGACACTCCAAAGTTGCCCATACCTGTGCAGATCCAGAAGATCAAGTTTTGAATTAATCTACAGTTAGCTGGGTCATGTGGGACAACACTGAAATGTTTCCTGCATGTTCCAAAAGGTTTGCATCTGTGCTAAATGCAGAAACCTTACAAATTTAGCCACTGGGGTATATGTACAAATGTATGATAGAGTAGGTGTTGTGAACTCTTGTCACAAGTTGGTAAAACAATCATCCTGGTTACAATGTGTAAAACCACTAGTCTAATGTTTTCCACAAACAGGCAAATATTTCAAGATTCAATATTTAAAGATTTTCAGAACAATGCAATATAGACATATCAATGTATTACTTCAGTTATTATTCTATGGATTTAGTATGCTGTGTACTTTTTGTTTTAAATCTCACACCTGTACAGAACAAATATTATTTGAGCTATCTGCCCGCTGGCCCTTTACACAATCAATTTCAGAGCTTTTATTCCCAAAGAACTGACATTTTGGATATTGACTTGAGCAGGTACCCTTCACAGTTACACATTTACTTATCATGATACATTTAAAGCTTATTAAAAACATTGTGACATTCAACCGGCATATACCTGGGCAGACAAATTCTGCATCCAGACTTCAGTTTTTTCTTGGGACTATTATTTAGTGCAGGGGTAGGCAAACACTGGCCCTCCACCTTTCGTGAAATGACAAATCTGATCATGCATCTGTCTCTGGGGGTCATGCCTGTGGTTGTGAGAATTTTGCAATGCCTCATGGGATTTGTAGTTCCACCAGAGCTGGAGGGCTTGCTTTTGCCCATCCCTTATTTCAAAGGTTTTCTAAACAGCCATAACTGGCAGACTGGCTGTATATACTGTAGTTGGCCGAAAGCAATTGCATTTGTTCAGGTTGTCTGAATGATCACCTTGTTTGTCTATGTTATTTACTTTAGGTAAGTCACTTATCAGTGCAAAGGATAATCAAATACACAAGTGAACTAAACGCGTTGAACACATTATTTATAAATGTACACCTAGCAAATAACACGTAAATTCTCTTCCAGGACCCATATTATGGGCTCTGCAGCACAGAGGTGACAGAAACAGCAGAGTAGCAGTTCACATGAAATGCACAGGACCTTCTACACATTATAGAACATACAGAGACCTCAACCTTCTACACATTATAGAACATACAGAGATTTGAACCTTATACACGCTATAGAACATGTAGAGACCTCAACCTTCTACACGCTATGGAACATGTAGAGACCTCAACCTTCTACACATTATAGAACATGCAGCGATCTGAACCTTCTACATGTTATAGAACATGTAGAGACCTCAACCTTCTACACGTTATAGAACATAAAGAGATCTGAACCTTCTACACTTTATAGAACATGTACATGTCACCCTTCTACATGTTATAGAACATGTAGAGACCTCAACCTTCTACACATTATAGAACTACAGAGCTCTGAACCTTCTACACGTTATAGAACTACAGAGATATGAACCTTCTGCACATTATAGAACATTCAGAGATCTGAACCTTTTACACATTATAGGACATACAGAGATCTGAACCTTCTACACATTATAGGACATACAGAGATCTGAACCTTCAACACATTATAGGACATACAGAGATCTGAACCTTCTACACATTATAGAACATACAGAGCTCTGAATTGATTGAATGTAGAATACGAGATGCCTTACCTTGGTGACAGCAAAGATAAATTCTTATCTGTAAGTTTCCTCTGTCAGGACTGATAGAGTGTCCTGCCACCTGTGACAGACACACACTCCCAAAACCTGTGAGCTGAGACTGAGCTGCACTGATCCTCCTACCTGCTGGGCTGGCCTACCACACACTCTCGCATACCTCAGCCACAGGACGATGGCAGGAAAATGATTTGCATCAGTTCTTTAGAAGACAAAGGTTGCATTGCTAAAATTGTACCAACAATAAGGTGGTTAGAAGGGTTAGTAAATCATCACAAGCTGGCTTATTCAGTAAGCAGTAGCGTGCAAAATGTTGTCAATAATAGTAGCAAGACAGAATAATGTTTAGAAGTTTCTTCCTGCTCAACAGTCCCTATATTTAGCAATTTGTCCCATGCCTCCCTTATTTATTTATTATTATTGGTATTTATATAGCATCGACAAATTAGACCGCGCTTTACATAGAGCACATTCACATCGGTCCCGGTCCTGAGCTTACAATCTACGGTCCATATCTCACGCACAGGGCTGCCCATACACTAAAGAATATCTGATCAGGCTAGCGGCAGAGCACTATCTGCCACCGTTGGAAACTATGTGGAATTCCCTTTCCAAATTAATCTTTCACTGTAAACTAAAAACATATTTGCTATGGTTATGCTATGGTTACTCAGCTCTGCACATTACCACTGCAGTTTGTATTTTTTTAAATAAGATTGAATGAATGAAACAGATTGATATATTTAACACGGTCTAAGTATATACAAAGCCAAAGTTTTTTGTCTTTTTTTCTTTTGGGTAGAGTAAGGGAGGGTTGAAACTAGGGATGCACCGATACCGATACTAGTATCGATATCGGTGCCGATTCCGAGTATTTGGGCAAGTACTCGCCCAAATGCTCCGATGCCTAGCACGAGTACTGCCGGTATCAGGAAGCCAGGCAGCGCGTCATTACACGCTGCCCGGTTTCGCGATTGACCGGAAGCTGGCCTCGTGAGGTAAGGTTACCTTACCTTAGTATGTGTAGCCTGTCATCCCTCGGGGCCTCTCCAGTGAGAATGCGGCCTTCGTCCGGGACCCAGCCCGAGCCGTCCAATCAGGAAGCCGGGCGGCGTCTAATGACGCGACGCCTTGCTTTCTGATTGGCCGGGAAGCTGGCTTCATGCTCCCTCGTCATCTCATGACAAGAGAGCATGGAGCCGGCCTCCCGTTTGCCCACTTACAAAAAAGCCTCACATACACTATATTGCCAAAAGTATTGGGACACCCCTCCAAATCATTAGATTCAGATTCAGATTCAGGTGTTCTTTGCAATTTCCTTGCTACTAAATATTCCACGGTCAACTGTTACTGGTATTATAACAAAGGGGAAGCAACTGGGAACAACAGCAACTCAGCCAAGAAGTGGTAGGCCACGTAAAAGAACAGAGCGGGGTCAGCGCATGCTGAAACGCACAATGCGCAGAAGTCGCCAACTGTTTGCAGAGTCAATAGATACAGACCTCCAAACTTCGTGTGGCCTTCAGATTGGCACAAGAACAGTGTGTAGAGAGCTTAATGGAATGGGTTTCCATGGCCGAGCAGCTGCATCCAAGCCTTACATCACCAAGTGCAATGCAAAGCGTCGGATGCCGTGGTGTAAAGCACGCCGCCACTGGACTCTAGGGAAGTGCAGACGTATTCTCTGGAGTGACAAATCACGCTTCTCTGTCTGGCAATGCGATGGATGTGTCTTGGTTTGGCGGTTGCCAGGGGAATGGTACTTGCCTGACTGCATTGTGCCAAGTGTAAAGTTTGGTGGAGGGGGGATTATGGTGTGGGGTTGTTTTTCAGGTGTTGGGCTTGGCCCTTTAGTTCCAGTGAAGGGAACTCTTAAGGCATCAGTATACCAAGACATTTTGGACAATTTCATGCTCCCAACTTTGTGGGAACAGTTTGGGGATGGCCCCTTCCTGTTCCAACAACACTGCACACCAGTGCACAAAGCAAGGTCCATAAAGACATGGATAAGCGAATTTGAGGTGGAGGAACTTGACCGGCCTGCACAGAGTCCTGACCTCAACCCAATAGAACACCTTTGGGATGAATTAGAGCGGAGGCTGCGAGCCCGGCCTTCTCATCCAACATCAGTACCTGACCTCACAAATGCGCTTCTGGAAGAATGGTCAAACATTCCCATAGACACACTCCTTGTGGACGCCTTCCCAGAAGAGTTGAAGCTGTTATAGCGGCAAAGGGTGGGCCAACTCAATATTGAACAGTACAGACTAAGACTGGGATGCTATTGCAGGTCATGTGCGTGTAACGGCAGGCGTCCCAATACTTTTGGTAATACAGTGTTTATATACATACTGATGTCTAACCTAGCTGCCACTTGAAAATATTATTAAAAGATGAATTAGGTGTGTCTGCATAATATCATAACAATATCACATAACAATCATAAGCAGGGGTGTGGCAACTAGACATATTTATGTCCCAGGGTCAGAGAATATAAGCAACTACACACTCAAATTTGTCTCTTTGTAATTAAAACTACCACCAGAAATGATAGTTCTCTATTTAAAGTAGAAATAAGCCCTACGTGGATTAGTTTGCTAATTGTTTTATAAACCATTGACATGTTTTCACCTTATTTCCATCCATTTTTCATCTCAGTGCTGCTCATTTCCTCCAGCCTTTTTCAGCCTGTATACATGCACTAACTCCAATGTCAACTGCACATCATTACTTTGGATACGTTTTCTTTTAGTAGTCTCCACCAGGGGCGCATATGACAAGGTGACAACACAGGAGCACAATTGGGAGACAGGTGTCAACCTATGACATGAAAAGCCTAAATAAGAAAATTAATGGCAGGATCACAGGTATTATTTTACTGAAAGATGCAGATTTTAAAAAGATTGAAAAAAAAATGGAAAATACTTTAACATGTTAAAACTTAGATGAGATTCTAGTAATTGGGTTTATATCACACACACACACACACACACACACACACACACACACACACTATGTAAATAGAGGTATTAGTAGTAGGTTCTGTATGCTCAAAGTTGGTTTCGTTTGAGCAGATAAGAGCTGCTTGGAAATCTTGACCCATAGAAAAGAACTGAACCATTCAGCCTTAGAGACATGGATCCCTGGACTTTCTATTCAGTGATAGGCACTGTATCTTTTGAACTACCCAACTAAGAGCCCACTGTATCCATGGACTCCTATTTAAACTGCAGAAAGTGAGATTGTTAAAGTTTTGCATATGTTGAAGAGAAGCCTTTTAAGCTGCGTAATAAACAGGACTTTATTTTAAAGCCAGCAGTATTATCTGTGCTTGTGGAGCTCCTAAATCCCCTGAATAATACAACACATATAGATGAAGATGCATCATCACAATGATTAAATGGAAATACTCTTTAGGCTGAATATATTTGCGACATCTCTCACCACAAAAGAGAAAGTTTCCCATTGTCATCATGACTGCTATACTGCTGGAACCAACTCCCATTGCTTCCATGTTAGCTAAGCTATGGGCTGATCCCCCCCCCCCCCCCCTTCACATAACCACT